ACCCTTATAAGGAGTCAGTTGACAATTTCGGCCATGCTGACTTATTTGTCTTATTGTGCTTAACATTTTTGCCAATTATAATTTCTCTCTATCTTTTATGGTTTTTGTAAAAATTGCAAAGAGGGTAAAAATCATCTTTCAAGGGCAATAACTCCTATAGAGGTCAATTGATAATTTCTTCAGTGTTAACTATTTGTAGATAGTATCTGCTGAACAATTTTGCTATATATTATTGCTCTCTATCGTAGTTTCTGCTAAAAGTTCAAGAAATTGGTAAAATAGGTCATTCAGGACCAATAACTCTCATAAAGAGTCTATTGACAATTTCGGTTGTGTGACATATTTGTAGATCTTATTGTGCTTAACATCTCTGCCAATTACAATTTGTCTCTATTTGTCTTTATCAAGGTGTTTGTAAAAAATGCAAAGATTGGTAAACCATCTTTCAAGGGCAATAACTCCCATAAGAGGTTAATTGATGATTTCAGGAATGCAGACCTGCCAACTTTTGAAAATCTGCATGAGGGGTTTTAATGCAAGACCAGATTTTTAAGGGTAACAATTTTGCGGCGTTTCTGTGTGCACTGTTTTTTACTCTTAAAACAAGGAATTATTTGAATCTGGAATAATTTTGATTTCTGGAAAATTGATGAGAAATATATGATGAAAACTAACCCAACTAAATAGGGTTAGCCATGCGCGCATGGCTAAGGTGGGTTAGTAAGTTCATACTGAAATGATAGTGAAAGTAAAATTAACCTTAGCCATGCACGCATGGCTAACCCTATTTAGTTGGGTTAGTTTTCATCATACATTTCTTATCAATTTTCCAGAATTCAAAATTATTCCAGATTCAAATAATTCCTTGTTTTAATATAGTCTCATATCTCTTCATTTTTCTTTTGGTATACTGATGATGAGCTAATAAGTCTTACTTTCTTTTATTTGCATGATTCTTGTTCTTATTAATTGGCATAACAACTTAAGAATAGACAAAAATGGCCTAAAAAAATAAAGGATACTAAATGAAGACCCCCCTTCCCCCTCCAAAGACCTTTCTTATCTTTGCACTATGACTTAAAAGACCTAAACCTAAATGTCCTAAAGTTAGAGGGGATGAAGATAGATCTTGAGTTAGTCAATCAGTAATGAGAAAACGAATAGAATTTTGAGTTATCGTTCTTGGTATTCAGAGGTGCTCCTACCAGCAGAGGCTTTTACACAGAAGAAGTGAATACAATATGGCGTCGATTTTAAATCAGAACTGGACAGAAACAAGTCTGATTTTGAAAAATTTAACGGATATTGATTAAAATTGAAAAGGCAACGGACCAATTCTATTTACAAATTAATTAACTTTGAGGATCATTATGACCAATCAGATAAGTAGATTACCTGTAACAACATTATGATGACACCTGTTGTGACCATTGATTAGCTTGGGGTCGTAAACTTGACATAAATATGTCGCAAGGTAAAATTATAGATTTATAGAAATTGATCAGAAAAACTGCAAAATCGGTAACCCACAATTTTATCGGGTAGATTTTCTAAAAATCAGGATTTTGATCCGATATCGGGATTCGAGGTTGAGGCATGAAAATCAGGATGATACTGCCAAAATCAGGATAGTTGGCAGGTCTGGGAATGTTGAATTATTTGTGGATCTTATTTTGCTGAATATTTTTATTATTTACAGTTTCTATCTATTATATTTATTGACCAATGAACCATGAAAATGAGGTCAAGGTCATATGAACCCTGCCAGACAGGCATGTACACCTTACAATCATTTCATAAACCAAATATAGTTGACCTATTGCTTAAAGTATCTGATAAACAGATCAAATTACTAAAACTTATCATTGACCAATGTACCATGGAAATGAGTTCAAGGTCATATGAACCCTGACAGACAGACATGTTCACCTTACAATTGGTCCATACATCAAATATCATGAGCTATTGCTAATAATATCTGAGAAATAGACCAAGTCACAAAAGCTAAGCATTGTCCAATGAACCATGAAAATGAGGTCAAGATAAGATGAAAACTGCTAGACGGACATGTACACCTTGCAATCATTGCATACACCAAACATTGTGGCCCTATTCCTTATAGTATCTGAGAAAGAGACCAAACCACAAAAACTAAACATTGTCCAATGAACCATGAAATTGAGGTCAAGGTCAGATGAAACCTGCCAGTCAGATTTGTACACCTTACAATCATTCTATACACCAAATATAGTTGACATAATGCTTATAGTATCTGAGAAACAGACTTGACCACGAAAACTTCACATTGCTCATTTATCCATGAAATGAGGTCCATGTCAAGTGAAAACTGTCTGACAGGCATGAGGACCTTGCAAGGTACTCACATACCAAATATAGTTATCTTAGTACTCCTAATAAGAGAGAAATTAACATTACAAAAGATCTTAACTTTTTTTTCAAGTACATGTAGTCACTGAACCATGGAAATGAGGTCAACGGCAATGGACATATGACAGACAGAAACTTTTTAACATAAGGCATCTATAAAAAAAGAATGAAGCATCCAGGTCTTCTACCTTCTGAAATATTAACCTTTAAAGTAATTAGTTATAGCCACCGCGGACGGATCACTATCCCTATGTCTCGCTTTCTGAGACAGAAGTCACAGGCGAGACAAAAATCATCACTTAAAGCCAATAACTCTTATCAAGGTTCAATTGACAATTTCACCTTTGTGGACTTACTTGTAGATCTTATTGTGCTAAACATCTTTGTCAATTACATTTTCTCTATTTTTATAGTTTCTGCAAAAACAAGGCAAAAACTTAGTAAATTATGTCTTTCAAGGGCAATAACTCCCATACATGTAGGTGGTATATTCAGTGTTTCGTCAATGTTGACTTATTTGTAGAATAAGTTTTGCTGAACATTTTAATTACTGAAAGATTCCCTCTATCTTCTTTAGTTTCTGCATAAAAAAAATCATCATTCAAAGGCAATAACACCTATAAGAGGTCAATTGACAATTTCTACAAAATCACTTATTTGTAGATCTTATTGTTCTGGTCATTTTAACTGTTCAAAATTTCTCTCTATCTGTTAAGAGTTTTCATGATGATAACCAAAAACTTTGAAATTTGCAAAAAAATTATCCAATGAGTTGTCTGATTTTCCCTGAAAGTTGTAGAGGAGATAAACCTTGACCAGCTAGTCAATTGTACTCTTGACAGTTAAATTTTGCTCTTAGGCTAACTGATTTAGTTTTTGAGATATAAGCCAAATAAAGTTCTAAAAAAATTGACATTTCAGGCCTAATCATTCCCAAATGCCGGTTGTCATATTTTTCTGAAATGTTCTGAGGTGATAGACCTTGACCTGATGGTCATTTGTAGTTCATGTCAGCCTTGCTCTTACTGCTTGAGTTCAAAAACTGCATTTTACCTCTATGTTCTAGAGACAACAACGGACCCCAAGTGATGGCAAAAGCTCACATGGCCTCTCAATTTATGAAGATAGATATAAGAAGATGTGGTATGAGTGCCAATGAGACAACTCTCCATCCAAGTCAAAATTTATAAAAGTAAACCATTATAGGTCAAAGTACGGTCTTCAACACGGAGCCTTGGCTCACACTGAACAGTAAGCTATAAATGGCCCCAAAAATTACTAGTGTAAAACCATTCAAACGGGAAAACCAACGGTCTAATCTATATAAAAAATGAGAAACAAGAAACACTTATGAACTACATCAACAAACGACAACTACTGAACATCAGATTCCTGACTTAGGACAGGTGCAAACAAATGCAGCGGGTTTAAACGTTTTAATGGTACCAAACCTTCACCCTTTTTCTGAAACAATAGTGTAACATCACAACATAGAAAGACACACTATAAAATATCAACTGAAATAGCTTAACTCAATCAAAGGACATATTAACACCAGTGAACATACACTGAACAAATAAATTTGACCTATGATACAATGTAAATACAAAATAAATAAACTAAGGGAAGAATAATAAAAGTAATATGTTATATCGGTATGAAATGTTAAACAATTTAAGAAAAATAATATGCTCAAACAAAAATATCAGCCATTTGCAATAACTTAAAACACAGGTACTGTGGATTCATTATTATTCGTTAGGTACCAATGTTCGTGGATACAGGTAAACCACGAATTTAAATGTTCAACAAATCACAAATTTTCTATAAGATTGTATGCAGACTTTGGCAAAACCACGAAATCAAGTATCCACGAAAATGCAAGTTTTCCTCAATCCACGAAAATTGGTACCCACGAAAATAAATGAATCCACAGTAAATGAAAATAATATTGTTGTTACCGGTAGGTATACGTGTACAGTTCCAATAGATAAAGGAAATATTTTTACAAAATAAATAATTTTGATGTTCATAGTATGAAGCGGAAATTTATAGTAGTACCAAACACTTATCAAAGCTGGTATATAGACCAGATATAACCCTGAAATACATTAAATTACAAAAAAGCATTACAATTAGTATCAACAGGTCAAATAAACAAGAAAGTATGATTTGAGAGTACTCGCAGTTACTGACAGCTAGTTAAAAGCCAAAACAATTAATAATAAAAAATCATGCATCAGAGACTAAAATCAACTAAAACACATCCCAGAGATTTAGTATTTTAATGTCATGGACAGTCAAAGAAGACATGACTTGTGCAATGCCAAAAATAAATGTATCGACAGACAGTAGGATAGTTAGTTTAACCTCTTTATAGATCAAAATGAACGTGGGTGTGTCTTTATACATCCCGTTTGAAAAGAATACAAATTTAGTTATGTTTTAATTTGCTGATGACAAAATCGATATTAGTGCCAATGTAAACTATATACATTTATATTAGAAATTTCTTTTTTAACATCAAAAATATTAACTAAATATAGAAATAACATTATCTGGGTTGTAACTCTTTGTTTTACACATACATGTTTATATGCACTTTACAATACCTTTTGATTTTTCTTTGTGCAAATCTTTTGGATGTGATTTTGATTTGGCACCATTGTAGTCAACTGCACCGCTATTGAAATGTTGACTGTAGTTATTGTGACAAATATTTATGTGACTCATAGAATGTTTGTCACATCCTGCTACAGGACACTGTAACGGTTGTGGTTTCAAAGCTGAATTACTTGTCACTGTGACATGGTTTGATGTTGAAACTGTCACTTCACTTAATTGTACATGCAGGTCCATCATCTTATATGTTGTCAATGTGTTACAATATTTCTTTTTGTAAAGATTGGTCTAGTATTTCTTCTTGAAAGATTGGTCAATCTACCTGAAAAAACATAAAGAGATAGATATATCATGTTATTTGAATTTGCAAATATCTTAAAAAGTAACATTTTAAATGATAATGGTTCAAACATTTATTTCATTCCTATAGATATGGGAATAACTATTGTATTAAACTAAGATGATGGATTAAACGTAACTTTTACAAGTCATGAAGTAAATAAACTGTTAACACAGAGATATGTCTCGTCTTTTTGTTATTTTGATAATGCAAATGTTGAAATCAAAATAGCTATACTTTAACATGTAAGTTATGCAAATATTCAAAGTCAATGAACCATGACTGAAAGTACAGAGCTAAACAATCTCCACGGAAATGAGCTAATGCTAATACAGCTGCATACCAAATACCATTGACTTATCATAAGTCGTTCCCTTTAAACAATCCTAAACACAAACATTAACTTGTAAACTATGTAAAAGTTTCAAAGTCAATGAACCATGATAAGGGGGTGGGATTATATAATCTCCATGGAAATGAGACTTGCAAATGCCAATACATGCATACCAACTATCAACGACTTAACATAAGTGGTTCTTCATAAACTAATCTAATCACAAACTAATACATGTAAAACTAAGCAAAAGTTTCAAAGTCAATAGACCATGACTGAGGTGTAAGGACCAAATATTCTCCTTGGAAATGAGATGGGCTAATGCTTACATAACTGCATACCAATTATCATTGACCTAACACTTATGGTTCCCCTTAAACTGACCTAATCACAAACTAATACATGTAAACTAAGCAAAAGTTTCAAAGTTTCAAAGTCAATAGACCATGACTGAGGGGGTGGGACAAAATAATCTCCATGGAAATGAAATATGCCAATGCTTATACAATTGCAACTGCATACCAAATATCATTGACCAATAACTAGTGGTTCCCCATAAACTGACCTAATCACAAACTATTACATGTAAACTAATCAAAATTTTCAAAGTCAATAGACCACGACTGAGAGGGTGGGGCCAAATAATCTCCCTGGAAATGAAATATGCCAATGCTTATACAACTGCATACCAAATATCATTGACTTACCACTTGTGGTTCACCATAAACAAGACCTAATCACAAACTAATACATTATTGACGCTGCTGCTGCCGCTGGAAACAGCATACCTAAGTCTTGCTATTTGACTCTGTCAAGGCAAGACAAAAACAACAGAATTCTTGAAAAGTGGTTGTTCAAAGGTTTTTTGGCAACAACAAAAATAATAATAATACTGAGGACTAGACGATATTCTTCCAGGACTACCAAAGAAAAAAAGATTTTGATAACTCTGAAACAAAAGTACATACTGAAATATCTCCCCTGTACTGATTATGATTGAATTCATGCTGAAAAGGATGTTAAGCAAAAAACAATCAATCATGCTGATAGTCTTCAAAGGTTTTGCTACAATTATCACATAAACTTAAAAACATTATCAATGATCTTTGTAAGAAAGGTCAGATGAATCCTGCAAGATGAAATGTAGACTTTACGAACATTCCAAAATTACACCAAACAGAGTTGATCTATTGCTTAATACAGAACTTACCATGAAAATATAAAGTTAGCCAATGACCCAGGAAAATGAGGTCAAGGTCAAAAGAACCCTTCCAGGAAGACATATACACCTCATTATCGTTCCATACACCAAATATAATTGACCTCATATCAAATACTAAATACGACAAATAGTATCTCTGCAGTAATAGACAGTAATTGAAAAGTTAAATTAATCTATTTATAAGTAGAGGCATGTATTATTAGTACCAGAGATTTCCATTTTTAACTGATGCTATATTTCAATATTCATTATGAAAAAATAGAAAAACATATTTCACTAAATTAATATCAATTAAATAGCTGGCACTGCCAAATGATGCTCCCCAAACTGCACATTTATTGAAAGAAAACATTTTTATTTCAATGGTTCAGTCTACTAGTATACTTGGCGGGACAATTAACATGCATTATTTTGAGTACCGGTATATTTCGCCCGTATAAAATGTGTTACAATTTAGTGTGATATCATCCCAAAACCAATTATAAATATTTTTTTATATTCAGTAACAGTGACTTTGACCTTTGGCCTGTTGACCCCAATCAATAGGCTTCTTTCCCTTCCCAATATCATCCATCAGTATAAGTTTCAGTCTAATCATGCAAGGGAAACTCAAGAAACTAAGTATAGCTTCTGTCGGGCCTTGCAGTCATAAAACTTTCGAGCACGATTATCGTACTCTGAGACTCAGAAATCAACCAATCAAAATACTTGATTTTGTGTTTCGAGCACAAATCTTGTGCTCCCAGTACTGAGTAAAGTAATGCTGAATGCAATTATTTTTTTTGAAAAGTAATAGGGGTCAGCATAGGAATTTAGTGTGAATCGAGTGTTTGTAAACAAATCCATGTGTCAGAATGGCCCAAAAAAGCTGCATGAGATGGGGCTACATTTGTATTTTTATTAATGAAATATGAAAGCTAGCTAGGAAACCAGGTATAAATTTAATTCATGAAATAGGTTTGAAGTCAGAGGGAGATTTTTTACTGTATTTACCAATACTGTTTTCCATGAAAAATTCTGCGTCTGGCAAGGGTGCAAGGAGTATCCTGTGGGAGGAAGCATAACTCCATAAGGTCTATGCATGGGAAGAATCAGTTTTGTGTCAACAATAGAAATTACTCCTTAGAGTTATAAAACTATAAAAGGCATAAATATTCTCCCCATTTTACATCTCATTTTGCACATATTCCTTCTAATAATGTGTAAAAATAGAATTACCTCCCTTTGAGACGGTGTATTTATTAAGCAGTATCTCTTATGTTAAAAGTTGCAGATAAAGTTGTGAATAAGCACTTTTCAAGTGTTTCAATACTTGTGTAATCTAACCGTATGAAAATATGTTTTTTTTTATTTAATTCATTATCATTGTTTCTTCAATTAAAAAAATATTCTATACAACTTTTCATGATTAGATACCCTTCATCTATGAAACTGTTGTTGAAAGGTTTGTTTTTGGAGAATTATTTTAAACATTTGTGTTTAAATATTCTAACATGTTGTTTTAATCGTTTAATGTTAAGTTTGGTAAAACCCCGTCTTATTTTTATTTTTTGATCATTTTTCTATTTCAGTTTCGACTGCCCTGTTTTGGACGATGAAGCCCCCCTGAAGTTGGATTAACAGGACTTTCTGCAGATTGTGTGTTATAGACAGTTTTTCAACTATTCAAGTTATTAAAACACAAATTTAATAAAGTTAAGCATTATTGTTTTCTTTTTTGGTATGAAACTCCTTGAAAACACTTTCAAAGTACTTTTTGGGGGTATTTTCAGGGTATATGACCAAAAACTTTCTTATATGGAAAACTTTAACTAAAATACATCATTTCTTTAGGTCTAAAACTTACTTGCAATATTAGTCAAAGCAAACACAGAAATCATTATTACATATTTATTGAGCAAATTATTTTTCTTTAAAAAAAAAGTAAATGTACAACTTATAAAATACACATTGGCTGCAATATAGGCTATAGTACAAATTTCCTCTATCTTTGCATAACCAGCTTTTATGAATCTTGTATTGAAACTGGAACTTGAAAATTGATAAAATTACATGATAAATACAAAAATAATAAGGAAATGAGGAAAACAGGTCTCTTAAACATGTTAAAGGGGGTAATCCAGTAAATATATATTATATATATATTTACGTCACTTAGCAAAGGACTGCCCATTTGGAGGATATCTTTCTGGATAAAACTGAAGACCTGTGCTCCACTGATAGGTAGATGATAATGTTTGTAATTAAATTTTTTGGATATAATGGAACAAAACTAAGAGATAAAAAAAATAAAACTAGAGGCTCTCAAGAGCCTGTGTCGCTCACCTGATTCTACTTTGGTTTTGGAAATCATGTAAAAATAGATTAAAATCATAACAGATACCCTAATAATGAGTGAGGCCAAATTTGGTTTAATATTGGTCCTGTAATTTAATAAAAAATCCTGGTGGCCATCTTGAACAGTAAATCGGCAACAAAGTAGCAACACTTCATCAGCACCTCATAAGAAACATTTATGCCATGTTTTGGTTTCATTCCATTCAGTGCACCTCTAGAAGAAGCATTTGTATGTATTTCCCATAGGGTCTTATGTTTAAGGAAGTCCCCCCATTGGCGGCCATCATGGATGAAGGATCAGCTTCAAAGTAACAAAACTTAGTCAGCACCTCATAAGGAACATTCATGCCATGTTTGGTTTCAATCCATTCAGTATGTGGTTCTCTAAAAGAAGACAGTTGTATGTATTGTCCATAGGGTCCTTTGTTAAACATTGTCCCCATCTGGCGGCCATCATGGATGAAGGATCAGCTTCAAAGTAACAACACTTGGTCAGCACCTCAAAAGGAACGTGCATGCCATGTTTGGTTTCATTCCATTCAATGGTTCTCTAAAAGAAAACATTTGTATGTATTTCTCAAAGGGTCCTATGTTAAACTAAGTCCTCCCCTGGCGGCCATCTTAGATTATGGATTGGCTTCATATAACAACACTTGGTCAGCACCTCATAAGGAACATTCATTCCATGTTTGGTTTCATTGCATTCAGTGGTTCTCTAAAAGAAGACATTTGTATGTATTTCCCATAGGGTCCCATGTTAAACTAAGTCCCCCGCTGGCGGCCATCTTGGATTATGGATCGGCTTCAAAGTAACAAAACTTGGTCAGCACCTCATAAGGAACATTCATGCCAAGTTTGGTTTCATTCCATTCAGAGGTTCTCTAAAAGAAGACATTTGTATGTATTTCCCTTAGGCTCCTATGTTAAACTAAGTCCCCTGCTGGCGGCCATCATGGATTATGGATCGGCTTCAAAGTAACAACACTCGGTCAGCACCTCATAAGAAACATTCATGCCATGTTTGGTTTCATTCCATTCAGTGGTTCTCTAAAAGAAGACATTTGTATGTATTTCCCATAGGGT